CATTTTTATCAGAATAACTTTATTTGATATATATATATATATATATATATATATATATATATATATATTGTTCATTTAAATATTCATTAAAAAATAAATTTTATGATATAAATTTAATCCTTTTCATAATTCGTTTTTTCGTATATATACACATATATACGCAAAAGAGAAAGAATATTTTTTATTTCAAATTTTTTTAATTTTGTTCATATAATATCTCAAAAATATGGGAACATTCGTTAACTGCAGATTAATAATTTGTATATTACTTAACTTACTGATACTTAATATAAAATTATGATACTTAATATCTATTATTTTTTACTATAATTTTATGATATTTAATATCTTTATATTTTTTATTTTAATTTTTATATATTGTCTGGGCAATGAAATTCGTCCTGTGTGTGACGAATAATTGAAAACTAAATAAATATCAATTATATATGTATGATAAACAAATGCAACATTTGTATCTCAAATGTTGATGATAATTGAATTCAAGACTAATTCTTGATCTGTTAAGAAGACACACTTAAGTGAGAGTGAGAAGAGAAGAGAAATAAATCTAAATTTTACAAAAATTATATATAGATAAACGATCTGATATAGAGTTTATATTTCTCCTTTTACAATATATCATTCAGATTTTTAAATTTTTAAATTTTACCAAAAATATGAAAATCGAAATAATTTTTTTAGTAAGAATATTTTTAACTTTGGCAAAACAAATTGTTGTTGGCAAAAAATATGTTGATTGAAATTTCGAGGAACAAAAATGAAAATATTTTTAAATGTAAAATTTTAATTTCGAAAATATTAATAAAAAAGTTTATAACATATTGAATTCTACTTTTATGTATATGTTCTTGACAATATATGCCTCAGCATTACTGCTTATCTATTATTTCTCTAAACATATTACAACAGATGGCATGCAAAATGTATCACGAATCACGAATAATTCAATCAAAAATCTTCTTTGTCTAATTATAAATTATAATTACAACTTTTTGGCATCAACAGAATATTCTCGATTTTTATACGAGGAAGAAAAAGATAAAAAGCATAAAGCTGTCAAAATATATGATGTAAGATTTAAATTTAATAATGCATTACAATTATAATAACATGCAAAAGAGAAAGCAAAAATTTGATTGTAGCTTTAAAGGAAATGATAGAAAATACAGAATAACAAAAAAAATCGGAAAATTATTCTTCAGCGATAAAAAAAAACCAATTTCATTCTCATTAAAAATTTTGATATTTTTGTATTACAATAATTTAAACATCAATATTTGATTATTCGAAAATAAATGAAGAAATTATAACACATATCCAATATATGATGTTTTTCTTGAATCAAAAAGTTGATTATCTGGAATAATCAATAATATTATCAAATTTGCATTATAAGATCTTTTATTATACATTATATAAAAAATTATATTACTGTAAATAGAAATAATTAATAATATTTCAAATAATAAAAATATTATGTTATTAATTGTTGAAAAATCTAAAGAAACCAAAATATTTAATATTTAGTTACGATTTTGATGATAATATTGGACTTGCAATGTACAAACAAATATTGGAAAATTCAACTGCTTTAAACTATTCTTTTTTCTCATCTCAGCAATATCATTAAGATTTTCAACAATTAATAATATAATTCTATGATTATAATGATATTATAAAAAATGATACAACATCTATTAAAATTTACATTAAAATTATAAAATATCATTAAAATAACATTAATATTATAAAACATTAATTAAAGAAAGGCATTAAAATTATGATATATTAAAGAAATACTAAAACATATCCTTAAAGGAAATATCGATTGGGAAATTAAGAATTTAATAAAAAATTTAATAAAAAATTTTTTTTCGATACACAATTTTAACAATTACATTTAAGTCAACTTTAACAATAATAGATAATAAAATTACAATATATAAGAAATACCATATTCATTGTCTTATTTACAGAACAACGTTACGATATCACAAATTTTAAACATTGCTAATTTTTGTTCATTTAAATATTCATTAAAAAATAAATTTTATGATATAAATTTAATCCTCTTCATAATTCGTTTTTTCAAATGCATCATTCATATATTTTACAGAATTAAAATAAAAAAGTAACAAATAAAATAAAAAGAAGACAAAAAATACTTTCTTCAAAATAAAAGAAATATAATAATTATTTTGGAAAAAATAGAAATATTGACAAGCTTAAACTGAAAATAGCGGCAATTCAAATGACAGGAATATTACTGAGCATTTCAACAAATACTAGATATTATAAATATATAATATATTATAAAATTATGAATGACAGACAGCTTCATCTGTAAAGAATTAATTTTGACTACAAATTACTAATCTGTGGAGCGTATGTCATTATCACATTGTAGCATTTGAATAACTATAATATTTTTTAAAAAAAAAGTGATAATTAATCAAATGCTTTTTAATTAATATTAATATTATTCATATTTATTTAAATGATATTATTTAGATATTATTTAACATATTTAATATTAATTTATAATATATATATAATATTAATTTATAACATATTTAATATTTATTTATTTATTTTTTATTTTTCAAATATTAAATATTGATTTCTTATATCTTTTTATTTTATTGAATCAGTTATCTAAAGAATGTGCATAGTTAAAAGATTTCTTCTCGTATTCAAAGATTTTATTTAATTTTATATATCAAAATAAATTCTATATATTAAAATTTAGTTATATCTAATATCTAATTTATAGTTATATACGTTATAATTATATTTTATTATTATAATTATATTATTATTTTATTCATAGTTCGATAAATAAGTTTTATAGTTTGATATATAATAGTTATAATTAAATTTTATATATATATATATATGTATGTAATATTATNTAATGTATGTAGTATAATGTAATATATTTTTCTTATAATGATTTTAAACATTTTATACAATAATATGAAAAAAGTTTTTAAATATTTCCAATATTCTATACAAAAAATTAATTTTTATTTTTATTTAAAAGTATCATTTAAAAATGAAGTTCTTCTTCATATATGATACAATGAGTAATAAAATAATTTAAACAAAAAGACTGTTCCTTTTTTTATTTTCAATAAAAAAGAAAAATTTGGTATGTTTGAAAATTACAAAAAAAATCAGTTCAAAAGAAAATTCGTGTATATTGCAATAATTTATCTAAGAAATGGAAATCTTATTATCAAATATTAAATCATGAACATTTAAATCACAATATCAAGCATAATTACAATATTTATTATTGAAAAATATATAAATTATATTCAGAAACTTTTACATGAGTATAGAATATGGCTTTATGTATCATATGAAGACAAATCATTCAGATCATGAAGATAGAAAACAGAATTTTCGAAAGAATTAAGTGAAGAATTGTCTTTAGTAAAAAGAAAAAGTAAAAATTAATACAAAAATTTTAATTGTTCTTTTATTTGAAACAATGAAAAATCCTAAACAAGTAAAAAAAGTGCTTTGCTCTAATAAATAAAAGTTAGTTCTATTTATATCTGATGAAGCTTTTGAATTTCAATGTGATAATGACTTAAGTAAAAAATAATACATAAATGAAATTAAAAAACAAAAGAAGATATTGCAATATATATCCAAAATATAACATCATTATAGAAACTATATTTCAAATTCAATTATATAATCTTATAAAACTGTAAAAAGAATCATTATTAATAACATTATTAATTGATAAATATTAAATTTATTATCTTTAAAATTAACGAAAAAATATAATGTGAAAATGATACGCAAAAGATACAAAAAATTCAAAATGAATATAATGTAAAAAATTCAAAGAAATATTATCAAAAGTATATTTTATATTTGACGAAAAACCCGTTGCAAATATTTTCAAAATATAAAAGAATGTGGATTTTTTTCCAATGAATTCACAAATAAAAGTAGTATATGGAATAAATAATTACTACAAAAATTGCTACAATTGCTATAAAAAAGTTGAAAGAGAAAACTATCATCGAATTCATGATGATGTGATCAATGAAAATTTTTGAATATTTATTGAAATAATAATAAATATGAGGACTGTTAGCAAATTTATAAGAATATTGATTAAGGAATAATATAAACTATGTTCCTTTTTATTCAAAAACGAGAGACGAAATTCAGATTTTCTGAAATTTTTCACTTAAAAACAATTTCAATATAAAATATAAACCCTAAAATATAGTAAGTTCCTTCCTCGATTATATAAATTCAAAATTCTTATATTATTTTATAATAAGGAAACACATTTGTGTGGATGAGTGAATTATTAAATCCAAAGATCAAGTTTCATTTACGATAAAAAAACTAAATGAGATGTTAGAATTTACACATAGCAAATTCAAATATTAGTTATATTTGTAATAATTTTTATTATAAAATCTTACAATAAAAAAATTAATAAAAATTGATTTGTGATAATTTTTATTATAAAACTCTTACAATAAGAAAATTAATAAAAATTGATTTTCCACATTCAAAAAAAATTCCATTACATTTTTACAAAATATTGAATAAAATTCCCGGTGCTTAAGACATTATATGTTTACGAATCGATATTATACAAATTACATATTGACTCAACAATTAGGCAAAGTGAAATACCATTCAACCGGAACGATTTTAATAAATAGAATTAATAAATAGTTGCCAAATGTAACAAAAAAAAAACAAAATTTCATAAAAAATCCACGGTAACATCGTATTGCTTTAGTAATGTTTTAATTCTAAAAAGATAAAAAGATAAAAAGATTTTCTTTGATATATATTTGGAATAATGCAATGACTTCTGTAAAAAGAATTTTACAAGATGATTTAAGTTATATAATATAATATAATAATAAAAATTGATCTTAACTAATTGTTAACTGGTTGTTTTCCAGTGACAGTATTAACACAGTAATATTGTCGATGCCATAGTTATCCTCAGAGCAAACGGATCCATTGAACCGGCTATTTCAGATTTTTTGTCCAGATACAAGAAACTTTTTAGCAACAAGCCAAGAAAACTCATCAGAACGCCTTTTGCAAGAGCAAAAAAGCGAATGCAAAACCGATCTTTGCATGTGCACAAGATATACCATACGCTCTATATGAAGCTCTATGTCTAACATCAGGATATGAGAAGGTAGAATACTTTGAACGGGCATCCGCAATCCATGTTGTCGCAAAGAAAGATGATAACATTCGGATCATAGGTAACTACAAACCGATGTTGAACTCATAATCGAGCTAATAATCGATGAGCATCTAATCCCGAAAACCGAATATATTTTTAGTGATATGAAAGATAATTCTGTTATTGTTATTCTGTTACTTGGATGTAGTAGATATTCTCATCTGTCCGCTGATGAGAAATTCAGTTATGCACTTAGATTAAATACATCAACGCATGGATCTGATCTAACAAAGCGTATGTTTATAGAGCAGGCATATAATAATATCCCGGCAATCTGGCAGTAACGTATTGAAGAATCATCCGGAAGCTGGAGAAAGTTCATGTGTTTTTCAACGACATCATAGCCTATGGTAAGAACTTTCAGGACATGCTCCTAATTTTAGAAAAATTATTTGAGCGCTTTAAAGAGCATGATCTTCATCTCACCATTCAAAGTGTGTATTTGTGTGTATTTGTATATTAGTATGTATTACCATCAATTGAATTTTTAGATCATTGTATCAATGCCGAAGGATTACACAAATCGGATAAACATATAAGGCAATTCGCGATGCACCAAAACCTATTACTTCTGAACTATTTCTGGAGAAAGCAATTTATTACAATGCCTTCTTTCCCAATCTATCCATTGGGTTAGATCGATCACTATAGAACATGTTGCACACAAATCAATTCATATGGACATCAGCCGTAGAAGAGGTTTATATAACAATCAAGAATATTTTGATTTTTCAATGCCATATGACACGATTTTACCTGTCTTCTACCGTACTTCTACGGCTAGCAATAAATGTAAGTAAGACAGATCTCGAAAAAATTTTATTATATATATTTCCTAACGATCAAGAACTCCAACGAATCAATTTTTTATACGACTAAAACAATGTTGAGTGAAACAGAGCAAAGCTACTCTCAGATAGACAAGTTAGCGATTGTTTGGGCAATTTAAAAGCTCTTCTACTATGTCTATGTCTATAATTTTACTTTCATAACAGATCATAAGCTATTAACACAGACATTACACTTGGAAAAGTTTCTTCCGATTCTTTATATCAGTCCAATGGCCAACTATGCTGATCGTACTTCAACTTTGAACCTGTTTTCAAGTCTACTAAGGAAAACATAAATGCCACTATTGCTCACGAGCATCATGTCTGTGACTAGAAACAATTCATGCACTGAACGATCATAGCATAAAAGTAGCACACAAGGTAATGAATTTGATAAATTTGTGCTGCACCAGATTAAGCAGTTACCTGTATGTGCTAATAACATCAACAAGAAAATAAGAAAGAAAGGTTCTGAGAAACGTAGTCCAATTACTTGAATTAGATAAAAATTTAAAAAAACATGCTTACACAGCACCGGAAGCTAACTATACTTTAGCAGTAGGATATTTAGTATACGAGCATCGAGTCGTTATTCCCAATACACTGCGCAATTATATATTGACTGATTTGCACAAAACATATTTGGGAATTATCAAAATGAAAAGGATGGCAAGATCTTTCTATTGGTCGGATATCTATAACGATATCGAAAAGATTGTGAGGGAATACCCGCAATGTGCAAAGTATGCACTTTCGAAATTTCGTATCACCATTAAGAATATCCGAAAGCATCTTGGGAGCGTATATATATAGACTACACGGAATCAGTTGCTAGCTCAATGCTGCTTATCATAGGACGCATATAGCAAATGATTAGAAACGCATATAGAAACGCATATAGTAATGTTCGCTATTACCAGCTTAATTACTATGGCAACAATCTGTCACTGTAATATCAGATATCGATTCACTGCAAATGAATTTAAGGCGTACCTAGAATCCGTTGGAAGTGAAGTACCATAAATTAGCGTAGTATATCACCCGTCCGCCAATTAAACAGAAAGATATATAGATATTGTCAAAGACGCCTTGCATTCAATGGCGCCAACTCTAGCAACATTGAAATCTAATCTCAATATTTTCCTTTATTAATTAATATTACTTCAAGGCTCCGCACTCCATTACTAACCATCGTTTGCTCTTCTTTTTCTAGGTAAAAATATGAGGATGAGACTTGATTTCGTAAGGCGGTCGATATTGAAAAATAACGGGCATTATTTTGTCCTTCTTTCAAAAGCTTCGCAGCCCGTATATTTTATGTCAGACAACCCAAGAATGGATAAATGGATACCTATAAAGTTGTCACGAGATTCGGAGATCTCCATTATGAGATTAATTACTGGGTCAAGCGCCAGTAATGTAGATTAGATCAGGCAATGCAAGCTTTGCATGCTCAATTATAGGATCAATACCATTCTGAACGAAAAGTTTGCTTTTATGAGTCTCTAAATACTAGCAAACCTAGGCTACGTCGGGTGCGTCCGCAGCAGAAGTTATGACACCTTGTCACGTGAACGCCAAATAGATCACCGCATTCATGGCCGCTCCGATTCGGTAGAGATGCAGCAGCCTCAATAAACTCTGATCCAATTACGGAAATAGAAGAAAGTGCCAATATCTCAAACACTTCCAATATTAGATCAGATAAAATTTTCATAAAAGTGAGAGGAAATATTATGTATGTTATGTTTAACTCGCAGTACAGGTGTCCCCATCTGTAGGGATCGAAGGATGACACTTGGTGGTCACATGTACGAGATGTAGTGTGTGTCTGTAATGCAAGATAGACCACATGCAATTTATTTCTAATGCTTTTTGTAAAATATTTCTGTATAATATAATAAATACTATATTGAAGTACAAATTTCATTCCATACATAATAAATTCTAATTATTATATCCTATTACATATATATTATATGCAATTAATTTAGAAAAATTTTGTTTTGAGACAAACAGATCATGTTTAAGAAAGAATATTCATGATATTCGATGCTGCAATAATACATAAAATATTAATACATGGCAAAGAAATTTTTCAAAATATTTTTTTTCTAAATATTTATCAAAAGATGCGGCCAAATTAAGAATCATAGAAATCTCGATTTCTGTTTACTTCAATTGTTATATATATTATTTATTTAATTATTTATGAAAGTTAAAATATATAAATAAAAATTATGAGAATAGTCATAAAGATGAACATATTGAAACAGAGTAAAATAAAATGATTACAGCTTCCCAATTAAAGTTCAATTAAACTATAAACAAAATTCTTTATTTTTTCTCTATTAGCACTATTTCGAAATTCTTTGAATAAAAAATTATCTTTATAATTAATATCTTGATATTTATTTTTAATTAAAAAAATTAATTTATATTCCGTTTTATTAAGAAAAGTTTAATTTTTTTAACTCACTTATATTTATTAAATATTTCATTACATTTATTATATTATATTTATTAAATAAATTTATTTATAATTTATAAATTATTGAAATTGAAACATTCATATTTTTCTATATTATTAATTTTCCGAAAAGAATTATCTGAATATGACTTACTATTGAATATGAATTATTAATATTTTCGACAAATTTTCGAAGCTAGAATTTTAGGAGATAATATATAAAAAATATATATATTTATTTCAATTAAAAAAAATCTTCATATGATGTTTATTTATCCATTCATGAAAGAATTAACAATCAGAATATATCTTTTAACATTCGAATTTTATTTGAATTTTTTATTTATTTTATTTTATTTTTTATTATTTATTTTATTTTATTTTATTTTCACTTAAATATTTTTCAAAATACAAAAAGTAATACTGAGAAAATAAAAAAAAATTTTTTTTCAAAATGAGTCATATTTTGATGAGATGAAAAACAAATTGTTTCAAATCAGATAGAAGATCCTAATATTAGAAAGCGAATATCTGGAATTAAACAAAGAATTTAGTAAATTAAAAATTTAGTAGATCGATTATGTGCTAAGTCTTTTTTTTTTTGAAGATATAACAGAATAGATCTTTTAATTCCTTAATGCTCACGTCTACGACACATTATGATGTACCAAACTGTCAGATTATATGGCTATGACAGTCAATACACTTTTTATTTAGTATTTTGTTTAGCTAGTCGTTGATATAGATTCATCCTATGGTATCAATATATATTTTTTTTATTGTTTATTCATTCCATATACAATGAACATTCGCGAAACTCTCAAATGAGACATATAACACAATAAGATGTCAATATTTCGGAGATGAAGAAATTCTATTATACTTATTTATTTCTTTTAGCATTTATTTCTAGTTTATTTATTAAAATTTTATTATATGTTTTTATTTACATCTTATAAAATTAAATATTTAATATGATATCTGAAATAGAGGCAAAAATGGAATTGACATTGAATTGTCAGAATAGAATTGTTAGATTTTTTATTGAGTCATATGAATTAAAAATAAAAATATTGAAATAAAATTTATAATAAATTTTCGTTTTTAATGTTATAATGTTATTATATTTATATAATATAATATTATTTCAATATTTTTTGCATTTGTAAAAATATTGAATATGTAATTAAACATTTAAGATTTAATAAAATTTAAACAGCGATGATTCGAATTCATATCGTTATTCAGAAAATAATAACTGTTTTTGGATATAGGAAAATTTCGAAAAATGATTTAATTTTTTCCAAAAATAAAGAATTTTTCTCTTAAATATATTTACGATTCTATTTATGAAGAAATAAATTATAATAGAAAAAATAAATGATTTTTGTCTGATTTCTGAATTAGTAAAAAGGTTTTCTCAAAGCACTTTTTTTATATCGAGCGATTTTTTCAAAGTTATTTAATAATTATAATTATTTTTATTTTTATTTTAATATTTATAGTAATTAATTTATTAATTTATATTTTGTTTATTTTTATTTTTAATATTATAAAATTCTTTTGTATATTTATTTTTACTTTATTATTTATAATGTTTATTGTGGATAATTTAGCGATATTATTATTAAATTAAATAATAAATATATTGAAAATATACGAAACATCGCAAAAAAGAATAAGAAGTACATAGTAAAGCCCGAAATATAAAGTTAAAAGAATCATAAAAAAATATAATAAAGAGATTCAAATAAATATCTACGACATTTTTTGTTTGTCTGTCAGAATGAATAATATTGAATCTATATGTATAAAAATGCAATCTCGTACATTTTCCACGTGGATTGAGTATCACTGGACATAATCGTTCTTTCGTATGTTTTCTTTGTTTCATTTTTTTTGAATCGTTGTTCTGGGACGTAACATAGTCTAATATAGTACAACATAAATATCGACACGATTCGCATTTGTATCATTTCTTCTTCATATTAAATATATCTTTTCTTATTATATACTTTCGTTATAATTAAATTATTCCACAATCTATTCTTTGATAAATAATATGTGGAATAAGAAAAGAAGATTCAGAATCTGAAGAAGAACTATTATAATATATAATATACATATATAATATATATAAGAATAATACGATTTCGAAAATACGATCTTGCAAAATTAATAAAAAAGTTTACAAACAATAAAAAAAAGTTTTATTGTTCAGAAGAGGATAAGGTAATTATAAAAAATAATATTTATGAATTTTGTCTAATTATTATTCAAATAATTGTCCAAAATTATTAACGGATTAGATTTTTCATAGAAAATTCATAGATTATTAAAAAAATATTTCAAATGGAAAAATGCAGCACTAATAAAAAAATATTAATCGAAAAATTAAACATTACCATTTAAGGGAAAAAGTATTTAAAGGTAATTTAATAAAGAATAAAATGGAAATATTGTATATATCGATGAAATGTGAGTGAATAATATAATGGACAATTAATAATTTTGGCAAAGTAAGAAAATGATTAATGTTTTTAAAAAATTTTTTAAAAGTACATATTATTCTTATAAATCTATAGTAATACATGCTGGTAAAAAAAATGGATTTATTAAAAAAGCGCAATTAATTTTCAAAACACATTATAGAAAATATGAACAAATTTTTAAAAATGAATTAGAGAAAAATTATCTAAATATTAGATTATCAAAATATTAAAATTTAATTATAAATTATTAATTGTTTTAGATAATGCTTTATATCATGATGCAAATAAGTCATCTTCTAAATATAGTAAAAAAAAGAATATAATTATATGATTAATTGATGAAATAAAATTCCATACATTGAAAGTATGAATAAATATAATATATTAGAATTTATATACATAAAAAAAAATATATATATATATAAACCAGAAAAAAACATTTAAAATAGATGAATTTATTAAATTAAAAGAACATAATATATTAAGATTACCATTTTATGCATGAGATTTTAATTCCATTAAGTTAATAAAATCAAACAATTTATTTATAAAAATAATATAGCTATGTTATGATGCGATGAATTAGAAAATTTAATATATAGATTAATCGAAAATTATAGAAGATAATTGAAATGAATTTGAAAAGATTTTATTATATACAGAGAAAATTATATTATAATACAGAGAAAATTGAAAACCAAAAAAATAGACTAATGAAAAATGCCATAGGATTATTAAATATAAATATTTTAATTATAAATTCAGAAATTTTTTCAGATAGCAGCAGTACTAACAATAATAACAATTCAACAAACAAGATTTCTGAAATGAATATAGTGAAAGTTATTTAAAAATTAAAATTAAATTATTAATGTGATTAGTTTATATTAATAAAATTGGCTATAAATATGAAACTAATCAAACTTAAATTTTTAAATTTTAAAAATTAATTGAATAAATTATAATTTATTAATATATTATATTAATATGTAGTATATATATAAATATAATAATAAATATAATTAATATGTAGTAAAATATATAAAAATATATATAAGAAATTGTATATATATGTTATATAATGTTAATAGATATTAATTTACATTTCAAACATTCCATTTGCTTTTTTATCATATAATGTTGCCGATTAATGGATATGACGAATTCAGCCAATTATAAAAATATATGTATGATTTAATTATATGTTTCTATTCGAATAAGTTGAATTATTTAGAAGATCCATATTTTTTCTAGTTGCCAACTTACCAGAAACGCACAATGCATCTTTTTTAATTTTTTTTTTATAATTACCAATTTTATTGATTCATCACATTATAGTAAGAACATCGTAAAATAATTTTTCTTACAATTAAATAATGTAATAATCAGTATGTTGAATAAAATATTTTATTTTCTATTTAAAAATTGTAAAAAATTTAAAAAAAAATTTAAATTTTTTAGATGAATTTAAATAAAAAAAAATCTTTTATTTTTATATATTATTTTTATACAAATCATAAAAAATTTAACATGATTGTGATTTTAAATGAATTTATCAAAAAATGATATTAAAAGAGAAAAACATAAATCTGATGAAGAAT